CAGCAGCAGGCCACCAAAAGCGCAGTAGCCCGCACGTCAAAATGAAGTATGTTCCGCCCGCCCTCTGTCGCCGGGATATGGATCATATGTCTCGTGTTTGTATCGCGTCAGCGTTTCATTTGTCCTTTTCGTCACTGTCTCCGGAGAAAGCTTAGGTTTTGATAGTCTCTTTGAAGCCCTTCTAACACCGGTCTCACCCTCATCTACATCTGATGAAATGAGGTGGGCGTCTTTACCCTCTGCTTTACGTCTACACTGTCTTGTCATTTAGACTGTGAAACAATCGAGTATTTTGCTTCTGACAGCTGTTCTTCAGCCACGTATGGTTTCTTGATATTGCCGCAGTTCGGCGGGGCAGTGTCAGGAGGTGTGAATTGACTCTACCAGTGCTGCTGCGTTTTGTTTTTTACCAAGAGCGCTCGTTTCAGGTGAAAAGCAACCAGCGGTAGGGACTCGTCCTCCACCTACCTACGCCTCTTCACACCGCCTTAGTGAGACAATAGTGGTATACATTGAACCTCCCTGCTTACATTACACTTCCCGCGAGGTGAAGGTTCAGATATATGCTGATGACATAAAATTATATGCCGCATACGACACCACCAACTGCAAAGACGTTTTCCGATTAAGAATAGGCAGCACTTTTATTACATCCAAAAAAGTCACCACTAGTTGACTTTCACGATCACTCACTACTTTTTTCTCCAATAAGACTGAAAAACCTTTCCACGAAGTGCTCGAACAAATTTTGCCGCAGTTCTTACAGAGAAGGGGCATCTTGCACTTTCGCTGCTTCACAGTTCCGGTTTACAAGTCTCACTCTGGTGAAACCTGTAAACTCTTGTGAAGCTGAAGCAAGCTTGTCGAGCCACCACGTTAAATCTGTCAACTCTTGTAAGCTGATGAAAAAGCTATATAGGTGGATCGACACTCGATGGGAAGTAGCAAAAGTCCAAAATGCTTCCCACTGTCGCCCAATTGCCCCCAATTTTTAATCATTTTAGTTCTATGCTATTGCTATTCCATTATGGCTACATCATCGCTTGAGTACTTACCAAGCTACAAGCAAAAACAAATACCTTTAATGATGTTACATTAACGTCGACATTATAGAATAATATTAACAAGTTATTTAATAATATCAACGCGTCATATAACAATAAAAACATTAAGACTATGCAGTAATGAGAGCGCGCAAGTTGTAGATTGGTGCATTTCTTTCCGTGATACGTCACTTATCCTCCTTTTGTCCGTAGTTGTTGCTATATTTGTATACGGCCTGGAACAAACAAAGACTTGCGGAGGATGGCCGATTTGCAATTTTTTTCATACTCCTACACGAGTTTGCTACTATATAACCAACGAATTGGAGAGGCACTGGGCCCTCCTCTGGAGTTACACCTAGTTTTTCTCCTGACCATTTTCGTGATAACGGCACCTTTTGCCAATTCGCCACTTCTAACCAGGAAAGGTCATCAGGTCAGCCCAGCCATTTCCAATGAGCTGCACACCGTTGTACGCGTCTTGGGACGGTGAACTCAGAACTGTCTTCAAAATTTGCAGAACGATTCTCTGAACGGAGTTATGGAGGGTTTTATCCCCGCATGGTCGTTTCACATGCTATCGCGAAGAAACGTGGAGGCGTCTTTACATTTACCAGTCGGATCCTCCTTCCGCGTGTGAAGTGGGTCCCGGTGAGAAGTTTTCCATGTGGGAGGGCCAGTCGGATCGGCCGGCTTCGCCGGCCGATCCTCCTTCCGCCCCCCCCCCTAGAAGACAGTCGTCAAAATTTTCTATGCGGCACTCCCCTTAGTGATGAGGAATCGCAGAATAAACTATTGCCGACGGTACCAACCATTTGGTACACTGTCTAGGGTTATCCCTCACTAACTTCATCTGACAAACCACTGCTCAGTTTCACCTTACTCCCCATTTTGTGTGGTTTTTCGTATGCGTTTTGAGGATTTTTGCCCTCGGCACCGTTCACTTTGGCGAACGCCCCGCCCGTCAGGGGTGTGCTTCATTGATTTCGACCGCCAACAGATTGCCTATCGTTTGCCACTTTTTCCGCTCTTGGGGCTCTTTTGGAACCAAACTACGAATTTTTGAAATTTGTAGCTCACAACTGTGCGCACGCCCCGCCCACAGTGGGCGGAGCCTAGCTTAGTTCATGTGTGTTCCGTACATCTTGGCCCATGCCCTACCCAACCCACCCTTGACCCGCCCCCTCCAACTGGCTCTTCAGGTGATTCCGAATTTCCGGACAGACAGACAGACAGACAGACAGACAGACAGACAGACAGACAGACAGACAGACAGACAGACAGACAGACAGACAGACAGACAGACAGACAGACAGACAGACGTTGCCGTTTATATATAGTAGGATGTATGGAGACGTTCTGAAACGTGGTAACAGAGCGCAACGGGTAGGGAGCGGTTTCTTAGGCGAGACGTCGTAGGATCGGTTCCGGGGCAGGTCCTTTTTTTGCATTTGTCCAAGAACATAGCCGACAAAGCTTCTAACATCTCTGCTCGCCTGCACTACCCTATAAGGGAACCTGCAATCAGTTTTTTCGAAAGTGTAGACCCATTGCGGCCTGAAAGAGTGCTTCTGCTTGTACCCCTCGTAACACGTGTCACAAGGGTTTTTGCAATGAAATACCATCATTTTCATGTTCAGCGGGCTAAATTACCCCTAAGGACAAGTTTCTAGCCGAACTGACTTTTCGACCTCGCTCGGAAAATGTGGGCAATTCCATGGGTAATTAGCAGCAGATTGGAGCTCACCTACCATCGATGACTGGTCTCGGAATGGGATTTCCTCCCGATAGTCAAGAAAATGATGCAGACGGCACAAATAAGTAAGCCAGGTACTGTTGTTTGCGAAAAGACATGACTGAAGAGTTATTTCAGTTCGAAGACCAGTCATCACCAGTATGCTAGTCATAGTATCGCTGTTAGCTATCAGTCAGCCATGACTATCCGTACCACCATTTTTTCGAAGTTGAGTCAGAAGCTCAGATTTGCTAAGGTGACGTCTCTAGGGGTTATTTGACCCCCTGAACACGAATATGATACCTGTTTTGCGCGAAGAGCGCTGTGAGTCGCGCTACATGTGCCAACGCTTCGGCGCCAGCGCGCCCGTAAGAAGAAAAACAGTAAAGAAAAACCTCCATAACTCCGCTCAGAGAATCGTTCTGCAAATTTTGAAGACAGTTCTGAGTTCACCGTGTCAAGATGAGTACAGTGATGTGCATCTCATTGCAAATGGCCAGGCTGACCTGTTGACCTTTCCTGGTAAGCTATCCTGGAATACTTTCATTAAGGTCATACATACTTCGCGACAGCAACGGCGACCGCTGCTTACTAGTTGGACCGCTTTCATCACCAAATGAGAAGTTCCTGCTTGCCGAGCTTTTCTTCTATTACAATTAGTGGCTGACTATCAAACGCACAACTCTCTACACTCGAGATAAGGAAAGCAGTGATCCGTTTTTTTTTGGATTTGAGGCAAGAACCACTTCATTTCTTAGGTAGTCTTTTTTCGCACCTTTTTTGCATTGTGCCGACTGACTAACGTCCTGAAGTCTCATACTGACTGAAAT